AGAACTGCCAACGGTGATGAAATGTTTTCTCGTCCATGTCAAAGTTGGTGACAGTGCGATAGTCACCACGTTATCATGGGTCGTAATACTGTTGACTTCCCACTCTGGCGATCCAGCCACTTCAGCCTCTCAGCATCAACGAGGCAGTTCACCCATGAACGGGGGCTCTGGGCTGGTCTGCGAGCTGTCTCCATTGCTTGCCAGGCTCGCTTGCGCCAATCCCCCGAGACGACTGGCGAGAAATTGCTGATCATTTAGATCAAGCACGGAAAAACATTGCGGTTCAGGGGCTATTCGAGCTGGAAAAGGCTTGCGAGGCAACGAATGACCAAAGTTCACGAACCAGACTCATCACACAGCTTTGCCCATCAGCTCACCACAACGGTGGCGATCCCATTGCTCGAGGCAGGGACCAGGCAGACAGCAACTGTGACTTTCTGTGATTTGAGGATCAAAACATGCAAGGCCCACATGCAGCCAACGCCTCTACCTAGTTCAGGCATGCTGCCCAGAATCTCTAGGAGATTTCAATGGAAGCAGAGTTGTATTTCGCAGTGATGGCATGAGGCTAGCGGGACAAAGCGGGCCGCTTGACACTCTCTTGACCGATGGGAAAAATCCATGGACGACCGACCCTGGACGCTCGCTACCCTGGTCAATGATAGCGCGGTTGAAAGAACGAGGCTTGCAGTAAGCCGCAGGATCGCAATACGAAGAAGGCTTGCGGCATATTTGGGGCTCTCACTAGGTGGTACCCAGTTGCCAAGGGCCATCTCCATCACTTTTAGGGACCCCGAGAGCCGACAACAGATTTACAAGTAGTTTGACATGAGTTGCAACACAAAGATGGCGGTATCATGACCTGAAATTGATGGGCAGGCAGCCAATCCCAGGCTTGAACTGGATAAGAGCCTGAGGGGTTGCAAAACTGGTGGTTCTTGGCGGCATGAAGCCCTAGTCCGAATACGGTGTGGACTGGCTGATCGACACCGCCGGGGAACAAGAATCCGTTTCCACTCTTTAAACTACCACGGCCCGCTCCACACTGCGATCCTTTGGTTCCCCGCCCCTAGTTTGTCTGTGTCTCGACCTTGTCTGTATCTATCCCGGCTTATGCACCTAATTGGGAGCCATCAAACCACTGACATTCTTGCCGAGAGTCGCCAAACGACGTCTGGACGCAGACTCTCCTGTCAGTGATCCTTATCATGCTTGTCTGCCGAGTAGTCCTCTCGCGTTGGCCATACAATTCGCCAACCCATGCTCGGACCATGCATGTCAACTTCCCCTTCGAGTATGTTGTATTTTTCGCGTTTCCGGTAGTGGCCAGTCCCCCGTCGACAGGGTCTACTGTGGTGGTGAAACCCGGAGGCGCAGAAAAGATACCTCTGAGCTCGTATCTGGAGTCTGTACTCGGGATATGAGGTGGGGAAAAGTCGCACCCACCTGCACCCTCAGCAGCGAAGCAACCCGATCCATCCAGACAATCATGCAGTCGTGCTCCTCAACGGCGCCCTGCTTGTGCTACCTACCGCCAGGGATTCTCTATAGTTCAAGTCGCCGTCTGTTCTGCCTCGAGACACTCTCAGTCCAATTGGTGGGATCTCCCCAGACAATCCACCCCCTCCTCCAAGCGAGCTTTTGTTGTCAACACGAGGCATGAACCGACCGATGGCTTTTGAATTCCTCCTCCCCCTTATCATTCTACTCCGTACCTTGGTCCATTCAAACGTCTCACCTCTCTACGAGCTACACGCTTGTTCGCTGTTGCGTGGCTTAGGCCCAATCTCGGCAAACTGTCCACGTTTTTCAGGGGACCATCGGCAAGCCATATCCTGCAGGTCATTGAATCTGTCATTCCTTCCATTTCTCTACCTCTCATCCTTCATCTTCCACTGCTTCTTCCTCTCGCCTTCTAGGACATTTTGGTAGCTATCTGCATCCAAGATGGAGTCCCACGAGATGAGCCCGGTCAAAGGGCCTCAAGTCAACATTGAAGATGAGAAGAGAGAGTTTTCAACGCAGTATCGCGGCCAAAGGACTGACGGGACTAGAAACACGTCGACGAGAGTCCGAGTAGGTTTCCTTCACTCACAAAGACTGACTGCGCAAGGCTAAAACCATTCGCAGAGAATTTTCAGCTTCGCCCAGATTTTCTTCTTCGCCCTCAGTTATATGTCGTCCTGGGAGGCCATTGCGTCGTATGATTAACATGTTCCTCTTCACTCTCTGGATACAAACTGATCTCAGATAGAAACATTGCATACTTCTTCTGGAATGGCGGTCCTCGATCCGTCTCCTTTGGCTATTTCGTCGTCATCTCAGGTGTGCTGTGCCAGGTCGCATCCATGGCTGAGATGGCTTCGGTACAGCCAATCGCAGGCGCGCAGTACCATTGGACTCACTACCTCGCGCCTCCATCTCACAGACGATTCATCACCTGGATGCAAGGCTGGATCACCTGGTTCTCGTGGATCTCGCTTTTGGCCGGCGTAGCGAACATCGCTGCCCTCATGATTCAGGCACTTGTCATTGCCAACTATCCAACATACATTCCACACGGATGGCATGTGACCTTGATCATCTACGCCCTGCTTCTTGTCCAGGGATTGATGAATCAGTACGCTTTTTGGACAATTCCCTGGATCGAGTTGCTCTCCGGTCTGCTGCACATCATCATGTGGGTGGTCTTCGTTTCGGTGTTGGTCACACTCGCTCCCCGCCACACGGCAGACTTTGTCTTCTTGGAGAAGTCGGCTCTTTCTGGGTGGAACAACGAGTACATCTCATTCAACCTTGGGATGCTTACCGCCACCTGGGGTTTCGTAGGTAAGTTACATGTAGCACACGCAGGAAGAGATGTGCCAGTTTTCCGGAAGCTGATTGAGTGACTACAGGTTTTGATGGAGCAGTCCATATGTCTGAAGAAGTGCGAAAGGCGCGACACGCAGTACCGCGAGCCATGTTCTGGAGTATTGTCATGAACGGGGCGCTTGCGTACGGGATGGTGCTTGTCTTCCTGTTCTGTGCTGGAGACGTCAACGACCTGCTCTCCTCGGGATATCCCCTGTTACTCATCTGCATCAATGCGACTCAATCCACAAGGGCAGGCTCGGCAATGGTGGGCCTATCGATGATCGTGACTCTGGCTTGCTGTCTCGGCAGTATTGCGTCTGCATCTCGATTGACTTGGGCCTGGTCTCGAGATGGAGCACTCCCCGCCTACTTTTCGTACATCGACCCGAAGCACCGCATCCCCGTTCGCTCGGTCTGGCTGCCGGTCTTCATCGTCATGTTGCTGGCGCTCCTCAACGTGGGCAGCAGCGTCGCATTCAACGTCATCGTGGCGCTCTCAACTCTCGGCCTGTACCAATCATACCTCATGGCCATTGCCTGCATGATCTGGGCGCGGTACAGAGGGAGGGTTGAGCCCCCTGGATGGTCTCTGGGCCGCTGGGGCATTTACATCAACATCTTTGCGGTCATCTACTCAGCCTACATCATGGTCTTCCTGTGCTTCCCGTCCTTCCTCCCTATCAACGGCTCCGACATGAACTACGCCCTCCCCATCAACGCCTTTGTCCAGCTCGTCGCATTGGCTCTCTGGTTCCTATGGGGCAAGGCCAACTGGAAAGGCCTCAACAAGGACGTCGTCGACGCCGTCGTGGCCGACTCGGACCGCAACACCAAGGATTAAAATGCACAAAGTCTCCGGCCTCAACTATTGGATTATACATATATACATGCAAAATTTTTACCCGCCCTTTCTTTGCGCAAAGGGGCACGGTATGAATCATGGGCTTTTGTTCCCCGTGTGGAACCGAAAATCTCTCTCTCCCGCCCAGTCACACTCGTTTTGATAACTCCACCTGGTGTTGCCTATCGACTGGGAGAAGTTTTCTTGGGGGGGGGGGGGGGGGGGGTGTTGGAAAGTGGGCGCTACAGCGCATTTGGGCAATTTTCGCCAGATTCAGTCAGTTGTTCAGCAGCAATAGAAGAAACAAGAAAAAAGCAAAAGAATGACAATTTATGTACATAACATACGTAACGTACATACAATGGACGAAACTGATCAGCTGACTAGTCGGTTCTCCCCTGAAATTCTCTTGATCTTTTTAAGTCGACCCTATCAGGCGGCAAACCTCAAATTGAACGGCCTGAAACGTCGGAGGAGGTCAGTTTCGTTTTATCATGATATTGTGCTGTTCTTGAAGCGTAGACGATCACCGATTGCTGGTTCTATTGAGATACACGTACTCGGTACTTCGATAGACCCTCCGAATGACCGTGGTGCAACCGCCGAGAGCAGATCGAAAAAGAGTGACATTCCAGCTTAGAAACCCTAGATTTTGGTAGGGGTAGGATGACGGCGCCAGAGGAGCGAGAGGTAATATATATACACATAACAGGCTGTATTCGATCCGAGTTATATCTCAAGGCATTGACCATCACTCTATCGACGGCTATGTACGTTGCGGATAGTCAAACAATACAGTTTGGGTGTGTTAACCGCGTAGCACGAACAGACACAATTGGACCTCGCATAGTCGTGAAGTATCATCGTTAGAAGAGGCAGGCCAGCACGCGAGGCCTCAATTAGCAGTTTGTGAGAAGTACCTAGGAAAAGTTGCACGTGTCACAAGAGGTCTCTCTCGGTGGGTAACAAGGCTGTGGATGGGGTCGCCGCTTGACGAGGCTGAAGGGCCCCCCCCACAGAAATAATCCCAGACTGCCGCCATTGTGCGCACATCATCCACCACTTGCTGCTGCGGAGTCGATTTGAACAATAATTGAGCCAGCACGGTTTCTCCACCAGAAATTTTAATTTTCGTGCGCTTCCCACCCAACGACAACCCTGCATTGCACAACATGCATCACCCTTGACAGACCACGCCCGTTTTGTGCCTGTGGCACTTTTTGGACCAAAAAATACAGAAAACGTCCCCAAGGAGGGAAACATTTTTCTCTCGCGTCACCGCCAAAAAAAAGGTATCGCAACCATGTCTCGCCCCGAAGACCTCCTCCCGCCGGACCTGTACTACAACGACACGGCCTCGGCCAAGTACACGACGTCGTCACGCATCCAGTCGATCCAGGCCTCCATGACGCATCGCGCACTGGAGCTCCTCGACCTCGATTCTCCCTCGTTCATCCTCGACGTTGGCTGCGGGTCGGGCCTGTCGGGCGAGATCCTGTCAGAAGAAGGGCACATTTGGGTGGGCATGGATATATCGCCCAGCATGCTGGACATTGCGCTGCAGAGGGAGGATGTGGAAGGGGATCTGTTTCTGGCGGACATGGGCCAGGGCGTCCCCTTCCGCGCGGGCACGTTTGACGCCGCCATCAGCATCTCCGCGGTGCAGTGGCTGTGCAACGCGGAGACGAGCGGCGTGTCGCCCGAGGGCCGGCTGCGGCGGTTCTTCGACGGGCTCTACGCGTCGCTGCGCCGCGGCGGCCGCGCCGTCCTGCAGTTCTACCCGAAGAACGACGCGCAGCGGACCATGATCTCCCAGGCCGCCGTGCGTGCGGGGTTCGGGGCCGGCATTCTCGAGGACGACGGCGGCACCAAGAACGTCAAGACGTACCTCGTCCTCAGCGTCGGCGGGGGCGACATCACCGACCGCGTCAGGAACATGGACAACGTCGACATCGAGGACGGTAGGCGGATCCGGGAGGCCAAGATGTCGGCGGCGCACAAGGGTGGCGGAGGCCGACGCGGGGCCCCGGACGACGTCAAGGGCAGTAAGGCGTGGGTGATAAAGAAAAAGGAGAAGATGAGGAATAAAGGCAAGGTGGTCAAGACGGATTCGAAGTATACCGCCCGGAGGAGAGGGCCCAAGTTTTAAAAACCATCCTCAGAGACTTGCCACCACCCAATCATCTACCATGACCATGACCACGGGCCTCTTATCATCGAACGAAACGAAAATGAAGGAAGGAACCAAGCAGGACAGACTTGCGCACAGGAGTAAAACGAATGAACGAAAACCACCCCTTGACGAAATACGACTATGACGATAACCCAACCCCACCCCAAGGCGACGTTTCCACAGACGCCATAATCACCTTTCCACAAACCTGTGCTGAGAAACATCGGGACGACACTACATAATTTATGCCGAGCGCTAGAAGGGCACAGGTTCGGTCGAAGCCACGGTTCGAGGATACGCTAAATCGTCTCATAGGAGGCGAGCGAGTGAAACGAATCCACGGGCTTCGTGGGTCGCGAATGCGGTACTTCTGTCTCCGTGCAAGCCAGGCCAAGTCAAAGACTTGATCGAAGTACTGAGTTTAAAGGGCCACGCACCGTGTGTGTCTGATGCAGGGAAAGGACGGTACTGTACGGATCCTTCGCGGTGGTCGAGTCCTTGAACCATACGCATACTATAGCTGACGGAGCCTCTACAACGGGCGCGATGGCCTTTACTTCCTTTACTTGCGTATGGCGAAATCATGGCGATCCACAAACACTCTACCAAAATACCCAGCAGAAAGAGAAAGCATGAACAATGCTTACTTCAAATCTCCGCCAATGCCCGGAGAACATGATTCGTTCGGGATTCTTCCAAACGCCTTCTATCCCTTGGCTCGCTTTTGTCCCAAAATGAAAACCAACCTGCAATGCTCCTGTTTGTTGTGATCATTTCCAACCACCCCGGCCCAATCGTCCAAAAGCACGATTGCACACGCAGCCTTGCTTCCATGCAAACACAACCAGATTTTGGTACAGCGCTCTCGAGATCAAAGTATGCGGACCAGCCAATACCTCTGGCCAGAAAGCATCGTGTTCAAGCAGGACATGGTACCGATCTCCCGGCTCAAAGACACAGTGATCAAGTCATCTCCAGATTTCATCTTAATCGCCTCCCTCTTTGGCGATATCCTCGCCATTTTCAAGCGACACTATGCCATCTGAAAGCGCGCGAACTGGTAGGCCCTGAGAGAAATCGTGCCCATTTTCGCCAACAGCAGCCGGGACCTGTTGCTCCCCAACCTCCGCGGGAACCGGGATGCTGTTTCCATTGTCGTCAAAGCGTACACCACTTCCAACACGTATACTTTTGAGCTGTTCAGAGTCATCTTCGACCACACCGCCCTCAGACTTACGCTCAGAAGTCAAGCCTTTGGTCCTGCGCCAGCCTGTTGTAAAGACCTTGCTTCCTGATATGTCAAACTTCGGGAATGGATGAGCTTCCGTGTTGAAAACGACGCTTTCGAGAGGAAAGAAGTCGTCATCCGAGAAGAGCAGATAGAAATATTTCAGGGTCTCGGCCAACCAGAAACTTTCCATGTTATCGCGCCGTTTCCTCTCTTTGACAGGGTTTTCCATCACAGTGTCCAGGGAGGTGTAGGCATAAACCTGGCCTGTCAATTCATCAATGACTTTGGTGTGCTCGCGGAAGGCTTCAAACATTTCCCACCCCCATTGCCGGTATTTCCTGTCCTTGGTAATGCGGTACATGTAGAAGAGGGATTCGATTGTCTCGGGTCGTTGAAGATTGTGCACATCGTTTGTGTGAATATCGTAGTCATGGCGCCAGTCGGCATCGGCATCGTCGGAGAGCTCGGCGGCGTGTGGCGGTCTCCACGCCGAGTCAACATGTCCGCGCCATTGCGGAGCGGGATTGTCGGTATGGAAATAGCAGATCTCGGGGGCGAGGCCAGTCGGAGTGACCTTGTACATGCCCCAGCACGTCTTCATCAATTCCTCTGCGAGCTTAAGGTTCTCGTCATGTTTCTTTGTCCACTTGCTCCCCAGTCTGGCCTTCGCTTGCTCAACCGTCTGTCCTTCGGTCACTGCTAGGGCTATGGTGCCAGGCATGAAGCATGCTAGATGATCCATCTTGGCTGTCAGAGGGGCGTTGAGTCCACTTTGCCTTTCGGCCAGGATGGTCAAGGATGCGTGTTCGGAATAAGTGATCAAGTGTTTCTTGACACCCTCGAGTGCCTCTTCCCACATATCCAAGTACACCCCCTCCACGCTACCCGTTTGAAGGTACTGTTTAATCAAATATTCGTAATAGCTGTCGCCGCGGGATCCCAGCCGTATATTTACGCCCCGGAATTCGCCCGTGGCAGGGTATATGTAGATTGGTAAGAGACCGTCTTCGCGTTTTTGGGATTCGATGACTTCAATAACGTGCTCGGCCTTCGTCCAGTAGATCGGCTCTCCCGTTATTTTTGCCAGGTATTTCATCTCTAGTTGTAGAGTCGCCGCCTCCGCAGTAGAGGAGGCCCCTCCATCGACGTGCGAACCAACTCCCTGGCTGGTGTTTAGGTTCACAGACGCATATGGGATCCCTGAAGGTGAATCGTAGGCCCCGAGGAGACGGTCGGCAAGATCCGTCGCTTTCTCGATGTATAGGTCCTCTCCGGGTTGATTTACGTCGTCGTCCCGTTGTGGTGCAAGATGTGGGAAAGTCGTTGATAGGTAGTATGCTGATAGTAAACCGCCGAGCATGCGGATGGTCGTCTCAAAGGTGTTGACTTCGTGATCGGCAGTGTAAGAAAGCGACGTAGATATCCATTCTCTTGCTTTGGCGACATGCGAGGTCAAATTCATCATCATGGCCGTATCCAATGCGTCCACAATAATCCAACCCATGCCACCTTCAACCATGTTCTTTCCCTTCCTCGAAAGAGGGTGGTATTCGTCCATGCCCCAAGCATATTTCTCATAACCGTCCCAAGATGTCTTGAATACCTCTTTTACGGCCTCCCTCTGTTCTGACCAGTCTTCGGCGTGGAAGAAAGAATGTTGGTGGTCAGCTGGATCGTAGTACTGGCGGGAGCTCCATGGTAACCATCCCACCCACCAGAGAAACAGTAGTGACGCAGAACCAATCAATGCCAGCACTCTTTTCTGTCGAAAGAAACCCTGTCCTCTCCGCCGACTTGAGGGAAAATGCGGTTTATCTTTGTACATGGGCAGGCCCCTGTCTTCGCCGAAGATGTCGTTAATCTTGGATGTGATTCCACTAGCGGGTCCTCCTCTTGCATGGCCATTACTAGTTTGTTTCTGCCGCCAGTATGTGTCCTCATGCGTGCGTTGAGTGCTGCTGAACGAAGGAACATTCTGGGGCACCTGGAAGGACATTGGGGGGAGAATCGAACCGGCCGAGTCTGTTCATGTGGTTCGTGGAAGACGTACGGAGGTGACAGGAGAGAAGACGGGGTTGTCAGCAGGATCGACAAGTCTAGAAATACATTATAAAAAATCCAAGAAGACTATGAAACGGTCTATTATACAAGTTGCACAGGTGTCATGTGGCTCGTTGGGAAGATGGTGAAGTGGCTCGCAAAGTCTCCTTGGAAAAAGCCTTGGCTGCCCCATGTTTACTTGCACCCAGCGGACTGGGCGGACTGGTATTTGCAGCACTATTATCCAACACTGATTCCCGCATAGAGAAGAGGATTCCTCAGCGTGACTAGACCTCCCTTCAATTCCAAGAAGACGGGAACTGTTCTTCTTCTCGAGCACGACCATTGCCGCAGCACGATTTCTGATGATGTCCCCAAAATCTCTCCAGCAACGGAGGTGGCTTGTACTTGCTCTCACAACGGTGGCGGGTGCTCTGCATCGACGCCTTTACTGTCTGCCAGAGCAATTAAGACGCTGTCATGGAGGGTGGGAGGATCGTTGAGCTTGATGTCCCTGGCCCTCTGGTCCAAGAACTTGTACGACGCGGCAGAGAGGGAGGATGTGTGGGATCAGGGTTCGTGACGCACAAACAAGGCAATCAGAACACGCGGATGAATAGACAGTTCTCGTCCTCTTTACTTGTACAGGAATCCGCGTGGAACAGCGTGAGGAAAGAGTTCGGTGGAGAGGCCGGTAGGTTGGCACCACCTATCAACCAGGAGTCCTAGGATAGATTCTGTGCCATTTCTCCCTCGCCTCGAAGACATGCATACCAACGTGAACGGCTGAACCTCTTGGAACCCCTCCCTTCCTCTTCTGCGTGGACTGATATCTGAATCGGCTGTTCGCAGCGCTTGATGGCCCCCTCTCCTGTACCTTCGACGTATGTCCAAACCCTGCAAATATGCGAGACCCTCCGCCCATGAACGTGTTGGACGTTGCCTCTCGCTACTTCGCCGAGTGCTGCCTGCAAATGTGCTGGGATACCTGTCCATCCCGTGGCTTTGCCAATTCTCCTTGTCATATCTGCCCAGCCAGCATTGCTCTGCTGGAGTTTCCGACCATCACAGCGCTACCACCGCCGCAGTGTTCTTCTCCTCGTCCTTGCACCCATCTCGAAATCAACAGAACACCGAGTAAAGTCTGATGTGGCCTTGCTGTGACTCCTCCTCTTTCACACTTTCCTGCAATTCCTTGAGTGCTCGAATGCGTTCCTTTTATGTCGTAGTATTCCGCTAGGAGGGTGAGCGCGGTGTGGTTGTTCCGGCTGGTGGGTTTGTTGTCTTTGCCCTTTCGGAGTCTCAATACTTCGCAATATGCCCATCCTCTCTTTTGCAACTGTCGCATGCTCCACATAATCCGACTAGACATGCTAGGTGTTTTTGGCCCGATGTCTTAGGCCACGCTCATTTGCGTTTTGTATTCTCGGTCGGCGAGATGTTTCTGTATCGTTGGAAATCAGGGTTCTTGTTCTGGTCAGGGGGAATATTCCTTCACGGAGGAGGCATCAAACGTACATCGTGTTTGATCCCTCTTGCCGATGTACCAAACTAGCTCACGCTATTTGTCTTGCACTTTATCAGGCGATGAGCTGACGATGCATACTCGAAGGCGGTGAACATGTATGAGCTTCTGATTCTATTTGAGTTGGTTAAGTATCTCGACCTTGCTAGCGATGGGACCTGCTCACAGATCCAAAGGCGACGAAGTTGACCGCACCAGACTGCTTGGTAATATGTCGCGGGACAGTACATAGCCATCGCAGCGTGGATATGTGCCTGTGATCGAAAGTTAGCAAAATTGGAACGCAGCATGGATCTTCAAGGATATCAATGAATATATGCCGTGAGCCGCCTTGGGGCTATTTGTGATGTGCCATGCGATCTGGATCCATAGCAGGTGTTGCTTCCAGGGATTGCTGATCTTGCTGTCCGCGGTACAGTCTTTCGTCCATGATATTCGGACCGATTTGGAGACAGAGGCAGTTTCGTGCTTGTTGCACAGTAGAAGCATTATGCTTGCCCATTTAGAATTGCTCTAGGAATTTCTGACACAAGAGAAACGCTGCCTTTGGGAGAACACATCCAACGTCAATTCGCCAGCACGCAGCTGCGTAGCTCACAAGCTTTGTGAGAACTGTCACTGCCGTTACTCGCGGAGACCATGTTGTTGGCTTGCGACAGTTCCAGTTGGCTGGGTTCCTGTCTGACAGCAATTCGCAGATGACGAACTCGATCTTCGCAACATAAAGGCATTTGGCCCGTACGGGAATGGTAAGAGATACTCTTACTCACCAGCAAAATGAGGGATTTTTTTTTTCTTGCATTCGGCCGCTTTGGCCCTTCGCTTTGAGTAGGACGGTTCACCTCATATATGCTGGTGGCCATTTAGGTAGACGGAACTCCTGATCTCATCTCCTCATGGATTAGTCCTCTTGGACTCGATCCTGGTGCCTTTGACCGGTTTTCGATGTCCATTGGAACAGGGAACTTTCTCTGGTCCCCATATGGGATTCACCAGGAAGGCCAGACACGCGCTAAGAGGCGGTGCAACGGGAGCGGCGCAACATGTTGCTGCCAGACGGGGAATTTTAGATCTTGCGAAAATGGTTTCCATGCAGACGCACGGCATAATAAGTTGCCGGCCAGTGTTGAGGTGCTTCAAATCTCTGCACCCAGCCATTTTGATCCTCTGGCATGAGAATTGTGTATTTCAACATCCACGCTGGCTTGGCTCCCTTTTGGTGGCAAGTGCTTTTGGTCGCACAGTTCCATGAACTCCTTGCTAAGATCTCCAATAGTGGAATAAAGACACTTGTCGTCTTCTATCTAGACAATTTGACAGTGCTACTTGGGTAGACAGCTCGTTTGGGACACTGTTGGTCTTCTCGAAGGGTTGTGTCATCCCGTTTTGGGCTCGCAACGGCTTTTGGAGCTCTCCAGGCCTTTTTTTTTTCCCATTCCGCTCGGCCGTTCTGGCTTCGATGCAAGCAATGGTATTTCCTTGGGCAGTAGGGCGATGGTTTGAATCTCTCACCAGCAACTCGAGGGATTTGTTAGGTTTGCATTCGGTCGCTTTGACCCTGGGCTTGGAAGAGACGATTCACCTCAAATTGCTGGCAGAGTTCAATCAGAACTAGCAGGATTTTCAAAATCTTCCGGGCATCAAATTGTAGTATTTGGTCGGGAGCTGCTCTGGCCTCTGAGTTGAGAGAAATTCTGTGGTATCCATCGCCACGGTCGAGATGCAATACATCTTCGGTACCGTTCTATCGCGGGTCGCAGGGTAAAGAGGGGATAAGGAGGAATGTAACGATGAGAAATTGTGAGAAGGAGAGAAAGGTGAAATCAAAGTGAAAGTCCAGGTACAAGTAAACACATGCCCTGGCAATATCTGCAGAAGTAAATTGCCAAGCTCTGCTTAGGATGGTAGCGTGGATATTAAACACGCTAGCACGCGACAGTGCTTGGCTAAAGCTTAGACATTATGCTAAACCAATCTGGGGTGCGGTGACGTAACAACCTCTTCTACCCTTTTCCCGAAATCCCTGCACAGCTGATTGACCGATTACGTGGCTCTGAGATCGCGTATGAGTATACAGCATCTTTGGAGAGATACTTGCATCTACTTCCAAGTTTGAAAATGGCTACGGCACCCTGGGGACCTCACCTCGAGGAATGTGGGAGCACTTGGCGTCGTGAACGCTGATGTTTCCATGTCCCAGTCATGTAAACATACTTCAAAGTGCTTCCCTCCATTCCTTCGAGCCCCTTTCTCGGACTCCTTTTTCCTCCTTTTTGTTTTATCCAAACGCCTTCGGCGTGGCCCGTCGCTTATACATAAGTAGCTGGAATTTTATTGTCATGTTGCCTCCTCTCCGCTCTGCCTGAGATATCTACCGTGCTCTAGTCTGACCACCGTACCTCGACGGAAATAACATTCATACAAAACCGGCCATTCGTTTTCTTGTCTATATGAGAACGTTGTTCGGATAGAAACTGATATCTTCACAGTCAACTAGCGGGCCTGGCACAGAGAAGGAAAAACAGTATAAAAAGAAAAAAATACCTTATTCGGTGGGATTCAAGGCAAGGGAACAACAGGGTATAGATACAACATGTGTCGGTGGCTCGCCTACATCTCGCCTGATGAAGAGTGCCTCCTGGAGGACGTGCTCATCACCCCTGAGCACGGCATTGCCAAACAGGTCCATGACCACTACTTGCCAAAGCTCTTCTCGCACGCCCCTGGCGAGCAGACATCCAAGCTCGAGATCACCTTGCGCAACCGCCTCAACAACGTCGACGGCTTCGGCTTGGTATGGTACACTCCCGTACGCTCCTCGTTCATCAACAGCGTCGAAGGCATCCGGCCGGCCACCTACAAGAACGCGCAACCGCCGAACAACGATGCAAACTTCCACAGCATCTGCGCCGGCACGTCCACGACGGCCGCGTTCGCGCACATCCGCGCCGCAACGGGCGCCTCGGTGGCGGCGATCAACAACCACCCCTTCGTGTTTGGGCGGCACACGATCATGCACAACGGCCTGATCTCGCACTTCACCGACATCCACCGGCCGCTGCTCGCGCTGCTGGAGAAGTCGGCGTACGAAAACATCCACGGCACTACCGACTCGGAGCACCTCGCGGCCTTGTACATGACCAACCTGACCCGGTCGGCCGGCGGCGGCTCGCAGAGCTGGGAGCGGCAGTACACGCCGCAAGAAATGCTGCGCGCGCTGGTCGAGGCCTTCCGCGCTATCATCCGCCTGCAACAGGAGACGCTGGGTGCCGAGAACGTCCAGGCGTGTTCCATGAACGTGTGCTGCACCGACGGCGAGCAGCTGATCGCCGTGCGTCTGCGCAACCACGCCGTCGAGAACCCGCCCAGCCTGTACTACAGCACCACCGCGGGTGTCACCCTCAACAGGAAGTACCCGGACAACGCCTCGGGCGCAAAGAACCCCAACGCCACCCTCAAGCCCGAGGACCACGGCAAGCACGTCATCGTGGCCAGTGAGCCCACGACGTACAAGATCGGGGAGTGGAAGGTGATAGAGAAGAATCACGGCGTCGTGGTCGACAAGGACGGAAATTGTACCGAGGAGACGATCGAAATGCCCAAGGATCTTCTCGCTCAGGCGGCTACGGGACGGCATTTTTGAATCAGTGACCAAGAGAGTGGTCCTCTGAGATATAAAAAGCTCGCGTTGTGTCTGGCGAAATACTACTCTTCAGTCAACGTACATTTAGACTATACCTTGTCCATGTATCAGTCCATGGTCGGAAAAAGCCGAGTCTATCAAAGTACAGAAAGCTACTTCTTCCCTCCAGGAACACGGCCGTATGACCTCCACTTTTGCTCAATATTGCTCAGCCTCTATTCTTCAGGTTCTCAATCTTCCGTGCAACGCCCTTGCCTTTGTCCTGTACTTGCCTTGTCAACTCCCGATTATAAATGGTCTTTCTCCAGTTTCCACCCAATTGGTCCGTACATTGTACAAGTTGCAGCGCCGTTGTCAGAACGTCTTTCTCCTCCTTCAAGATATCCTCGAGGAGGTGTCGCTCGTGTTCCAGACGTTGAGTCCACGTGTCTGTTAGAGTCTGGATAATTACTCCCCCTCCACGATCGTACTCGCTGACCTTCGATCTCATGGCGTCTTCTTCTGAGCCGAATCGGAATAGGACATCCTGGGCACATATCAGTCAGGCCAAGGGGTACAAGGGATTGGCTTACATTAGTTATGTTGATGATAGCATCAAGCATACCCCGTTGAGACTCACGGGCAGATGGAAATGCTATTATCGAGTCGCCTCGTCTAGAGTCTCCTCTGGGTTTGTTGGAAGGAGACGCAGTCGTCGAGCCATCATGTTCCGAGTCAGATTGTTGTCTCCGCCCTCGCTTGGGCCCGCAGCCTAGACAATCTCCATAGACTGTTTCGTCCCCATTTACAATAGTCAAGCTGTCGTTACCAACGTTTTGCCACGTGTCTACTCCTGTCGTTTTCAGGCCTCCATTGTCTGGCACTTCATTAATTGAAAAGCGGTCATGCAGGTGAAGACGCGTGGAGAACGAGTCTGGCGTTGCTGGAGGTAATTCGGGCTCAAGCTCAGGCTCAATAACGAGAGGCAGGCTCATGCTCTTTTTCACCCTGATAGGCCCCGTAATGACGGGCTGTCTCATTTCTTTCAGAGGAAGAGCTGTTTGCCTAGCCTGTCCTGCGGGTCGTATTCTGCGAAGAGAACTGGGCTGCCTGACCGAGTCGGCTGGTGGTGGAGGCGGAGCCATTGAATCGGCTGCAATATGCGGGAGCAACGCGCAAGGCTCACGCGTGCTCTGCGGGCCCGCCACTGGGTTGTCCTGCGTTAATGATACAATATCACGGTGAATCTTGGGTACAGCATTGACTCTGCGAGACAGACCCGTATTGTTCAACTCTCGAGTCGGCTCTGGATTTTCAAATTGTATGATTTCCTCAGAAGTTGAACGGAGTGCATGGGATACGGCACTCCGTGTGCTGGAATCTTTCGTTGCGGGTATTTGACAACCTGCATGATTCTTGCTGTTACCAACGGGTTCTCTGGTTTGTGTATATCCCTGATCCGAGGCGGAATTGGTCTTTATGGCCTGGGCTATCGAGTCTCCAGTGATTTGCGTTCCGTTGGCTCTAGAAGCGTAACAATGAGACGCATCATCAGTAAGGAACGGTCTTTGTAGTCTGGTTTGGTGTATACCGGTCTTGTGCAAGCGAGGAGGGCTAGAAAGCTGGGAGGCGTTCCCACTGGCCGTTTTCTCAGTTCTGGAGATAACATGCCTGGAAGTTTCTGGTTCGTTGATGATAGTCGTCCGTTTATCAGAAGCTGAGACGATTTGCTCGCCTATGTTGTCAGTATGTGTATAAATATCCAGCCCTTGGCGTTCACCAGGCTCCTCCAGTAAATCATCCCCATCGTGTGCAAATAGAATCCGGGTTTCCTCGATTTGTGGCGGGCTCGGTGAAGACTCGTCGCAGTAGTCCGGAACAAGTTCGTCGATGTCTTCCACATGTTCATCTTGCCTGACCCTTACACGATTGGGGGTTGGACTGATCTCCTTTGTCGATTCGTAATCGTTAAGTGTCACTGGAGACTTGATTGGAACAGCCTGATTACCAGGGCCTTGAGGTCCAAAGTGCACGATTTTAGTCTTTCGCAGTAGCTTTTCGCTCACTGGAGGTATCGAACTCTCACTCGGTCGCTTCGAGTCGCCTTGGTAAGTAGATTTCTGCTGATCATTACCCTTTGAACCAGCAATAGTTTTAGAGACGGCATTTTCGCCCGAATGCTTTGATGTGTGCTTCTCGTTGCTCGCTACAGCCTGTTCAGGGCTGGTCTGCCGCGCAGCGGAGCCGTGCATTGGTGTGAGTTGGTCGTCTGGAGGGTAGCATGCCAGAGGGCCTCGTGCTAGTCCATCCTCCCCATCGGTGCTGTCTCCGTCAAGGATCTCTTGCATATTCGATGCAAAACCGCGTTGGGAAGCTTTCAGACCCTTTTTCGTTGCCCCTTTGCTGAGGGGAAGGGAGCCTCGAACAGCCTCCCCAGCTTTGTCATGCGTTTCATGCTTCTCCCTCCCTCTTTCTTCGATATCATCCTTTGTGGTATCCTCGTTGCTCTCATCAGGTTCCTCGACATACGTTGGTGTTTTTTTGGCAGCCCGCCTGGACCTCGTTGAGGCGGCCGTCCTCTGGGATTTTTCACCTGCTGGCCTGATCATCTTCTCAATCTGCTTTTTCTTGTGTCGTTTTGGTGAAACTGCGGTCTGAAAGTTCCCCTTTTTCGTGCTTTTGGATTCCTTCAGAGATGACTTGGTCGGGATCATAGAAGTTTTCGTCTTTGCCTTCTTTATGGGACGAATTTCCTCATCACTGGAAGGTGGGAGGTCAAAGTCAGCGGCCTCTAATGTGGATTTGAGTGGTTTCTGCATCTGTTCGTTCTGAAGAGCTGTAACGTCTTTGACTGTCCTCCGCTTGAGGCCCACTTTGGCTGTTCCTCCTTCAGCTTGAGAATCGCTTTGTGCATCAGGCTGGGGAACCACCACTTTAGCCATAGCGATCTCTGGTCTGGGGTTTTTGTGGGCAAAGTCAACTACAATGATACTTTCTGCATCTGAAGGCGATTGGGATGCTGGTTCTTTCTCAATAGCACCTTCCGCAACATCCACTTCCGTATTTCTGCGACCCAGCTGCACCCGTCCTGAGGTCATCCTAGCCCTTGACCGCACACGCTTTGGGCTACTCTGAGAAGTATGTGGCAGTCCGATCAAGGATTCGTCATCTAGGGAGAGCTTCGGTCCCAGTGCATCCTTAGACAATTTATTGCTTGATCTTTCGGCAAGCTGAACCGTGGAGGCATGAATCTGCATCGCAGACGTAGCTGTCGAATCTTGATTGTGCCGCTTATGCGATGAAATGTTGTGAAGAGGGGAAGAAGGATTAGCATCGATGGCCACTGTAGAATTCGATCTTGTTCCCTTTCCGGGGTTGTCTTCTGCTGAAGCTGAATCGAATTCCATAAAGGCAATAGAGTGCTTTTTAGGAGTTCCTGGCGCACCTAGCACGCTATCTCGTATATTCTCATGCTGCCGCTCCTCAACCATCTGAATGAACGTTTTCACTGCATCCTGGTCATCAAAGGTTATCGCGAGGCTGTTTATGGCGCCTTTGGCTCCATTTATAAATCGATCCCCTTCAACCCCGGGATATCGGATTTCAAGGATGGTCGATAATTCGGGATCCAGGGCCTGCTGATTGAGGGACATGTTCTGTGACACAGGGACAGAAAGTAATGTGAGCATATCCCCGCCGTTGGGTATTAAAAAGGCAACCTCGCTTGACACCGTCGCAACAAATGGTGAAGAGCCTGCGAAGTATTCGCTTCCGTCACATTCGAGGCGCTGTACTCTGAAGATACGCTCGGCCCTGCAGGATTTTAGCCTCAGCCCTGGAGACCGTGCCACGAACCTCATACTGTCCAGCAAATGCTCTTGCGAGATCATTTCCACTAAGGTGGTCGACAACCTTACTCATCCACGTGGCATCGCCGTTCTTTGAGACAGGAAGGCTATCCACAATACTGGGTTTGTTGGACGACTTCTTCAGAGCTTCCCTTTCTGCCCCATTAAACAGAAGCTCTCGCAGCACATCGGCTGTTAGGATGCGAAGAAAATAGTTCTGTTCTATTTCGAGTATAGATGTCAAGTGCTGGCTGGCTCCGAGTCAGTGAAGGTATACATATCGGGCATCTGAATACCTTTCATCAGTATCCATTATCTGGTTTGTCACAATCGAGCTGGAGCGCAGCAGGACCGAGAGGAATTGCGCTAGCTTTGCAGCGTCAGCTTAGTGCAATATCACTGCAACTGGGGTCGAGGTTGTGGGAATGCAATACTCTCCAACGATGTTGTGGTCTTTTGTCACTGCTGACTAGATGGCGCAGTACGCAAGGCCCCAACTTCCTCCCGATGTAGTTGCCATGCTCTTGGATTTTTGCAGGAGAAACTGCAGTCCTTTGTATCCGGGACAAGACTGCAGCCAATGTATTCTCGTCTTGGTATTGTCGGACGGTTTCCTGATTGAATGAGCCCAATTTAGCCAAACACAAGGAGGCACCAACTATGAAAAGATATAGCAGCTTGTTCTGTGTCTCCGAGTAAGGGAAGTGAAGAATAACCGACGCGACGATGTAGAAAGACTGTGAGTCAAGACGGACGATATTCTTGGGTCGGCCATCATCCAACAGCTTCTGGAGACTGCGAAGGAGGGCGCTTTGGGTGGGATTGAAGGGTTTCCTGAACGGCTTGACGATCTCGTCTGGTAGACTGCATAGAAGAAACCAGATCAGTCTTCCAATTTGTGGTCCTCAGTGGCGCAGACTTGCCTCACGACTCCTTCTGCTCGGAATCCTTTCTGGAGATATCTCACAAGAGCTGAAAATGAGGTCTGGAAATGAGACTGTGTGTCCATTATAGGGAGATGGCGAAGGATCAATGAAAGCGTGGTAGGAGTGGTGCATCGACTGAGAACGCAGTGAAGCAAGAAGAATAGATGAAAGAGTTTAGAGGATCGTTGTAGATGGCCACCCATATAAGAGAGCGCAAACTCCTCGTTCAACTCACCGAATATTCAACACATCTGCCATGCCTTCAAAGTAAGCAGAAGGCAACTCAAAGCCATCTCTAATCGTATATCCAAACCGTCCATGTATCTCTCTTGAAATTGTCATACACTCATTCATACAATTCGTTCCACCACACTCACTGCTCCATATTTATGCTGCGTCCGTTCAATCAATGGCTCTTTCTCGTCCAGAGCAGAACCAATGTTATCGCCAGCGTCACCTTCATGGTCTGCATTCTTGTCCCCCATAGTCCGTTCGCCATCTCCAAAAATTTCTTTGAAGAAGTTGTCGTAACTCGCCCAACATGCCGCAAACATAGCATTCAAGAACTTTGCAAACCACTTTGGATAGGTTCCGTCTGGTCTCAAAAATATCGCAGCAGCCCCACCCATGAAGAACAAGAACAAGGGAGACCATACACTCAGAAAGATGAAGGAGCCCAACCTCTGCTTTATAGTTGTGAGGTGGAATGTACGGATCTGGTGGAGGAAGGCTTGATATTCGAGGGGCAATCCATGCTCTTCGGCACCGTCTGTAATCAACTTTAGGTATCTTGGGCTTGGTTGTGCATAGGATGGATCAGGTCGAGTTGTCTTTGTGGGTGCAAACAGGGTGTGCGCCTTAAAAGGTTGTCCCGAGGGCATGGTTGGGACATCCTCCATTGGGCCTCCATTGAGGGCGTAGCAATCAACAAGCACATCTTGATATCCTGCGCCACCACCTTCTGTAGCGATGATGTGCACAAAATCGGACTTTGTCACTTCGTAGACCACCCCGACCATACCCTTTTTCCAACGATCTTTGTGGTAGTCCTTCGTGGTCGTGGTGTCTCCGTCTCCGTAGGGTGTGACATCTCTGTAGCGAACATTGCCAAAGCACGGCTCGAAATATGGGATTCCCGGTAGATCAAAGGTCAAGGATAGGCTCGGGACAAGGACATTGACCTGTGATAACGGGCGTATGCCTCTTTTTCCTCTGAATGTCTCAGCACTCAAGTTGGATCCATATCCCAAATACAAGACCGTCTCATTGTCGCCATCGTCCGCAGCCGAAACCTTGTTGAGGGGATGTAGCTGATCAAAGGGCCGATTGGTAAGGGACTGTTGTTGTCTTGCCTGCGACGTGGTCGGGACGCATTCCGCCGAACGCGTCCTCCGACTGGTGGTGGAAGGTCTTAGGGAATCAAGCCACAGCTGTAGGCTGCCGAGAGCTGGACCTGAGCATGAGCTCTCCATTGTATATGTATGTGTATGCTCTTAGCCCTGCCGGAGGGAGGATCGCAATACCTGGGCTCAATGGCGCGATTGTTATGGGGTTTTAATAGTAATAATATCTGCCTGGCCCGCATGCAAGCATTCGGCCGAGTGAGATTAGTGCATTTCCAATCCTGATAAGGTAGGAGAGTGCCCGCCAATAATGATGACGATACTGGCAGTGCTGTGTGAAGGGCTCCGGCTTCCCATGCCGTGTCATGAGTATGAACGTGAAATGCCTTGATATTGTCATATCGTCAAGTATCATGCATTGCATTTACATATACAGCATTTTTGCTATTTGACCGGACCAAATTGTGTGATTTGAGGTCTGAGTCGTACTGAACACATACTGTACTCCACGCCCAACCCGAACTCTGGTTCCTCGCACCCAAAAACTAAGCAAAAGACAAGCTCTTCTTGATTTCTGCAATTGCCTTCGCAGGATTGAGCCCCTTAGGGCAAGTCCTCGAGCAGTTCAAAATTGTATGGCAACGGTATAAGCTCATGCTGTTGTCCAACGCTTCCTTGCGTTCTGCCTTGCGTTCGTCCCGAGAATCAGCTAGCCAGCGGTAAGATTGGAGGAGGATGGCAGGGCCCAGATATTGGTCACTATTCCACCAATAAGATGGGCATGAAGTTGAGCAACAGGCGCAGAGAATGCATTCGTATAACCCATCCAACTTCTTGCGGTCGGCTGGTGACTGTCGGTTTTCCTTGCCCTGTAAACGTGTCAGTAGACGTCTTTTCTTTCGCTACATATAGCCAGAGAACCTACATCTGGTGATTTTGTGTCTCGTTGCAAGAACGGCTTGATTGATTTGTATTGCTTATAGAATTGCGTGAGGTCAGGAACCAAGTCTTTGACCACGTAGGTATGCGGCAGGGGGTAGATCCGGGACTCCTTCGCTGTATCGGTGGGAATTCTGCCTGTAAAGGATTGTCAATTTGAGGCACATGGACGGAGATGAGTCGCAAATCTTACAGAGACAAGCAAGAGTGTTCACTCCGTCAATGTTCATGGCGCAGCTGCCACAAATACCCTCTCGACAGCTTCGACGAAAGGTCAGCGTCGGGTCTACCTCATTCTTGATTCGGATCAGCGCATCCAGCATCATAGGCCCAGTCTTGTTCAAGTCCAGAGTGTATGTTTGCATCCTCGGCTTCGACGTCGGCTCGTCGGGGTTCCATCTGTAGATGTGGAATGTCTTGATCTTTGCATCCTTGTCCGGTCGTGGCTCTTGCACCGTACTAGTCTTGGAGGGAGAAACTGGCGGTCGGCTGGCAGACAGATCGTACGCACTGTCCTTGGTGACGGTGGCGTATGATCTCGCAGCGTAGGAGGATCGGATGGTAGCTCGGGCGGGCGCCACCAAGCGCGATGCTGTGCGTAGAGCTGCCATGTCCGACGTCGAAGCTTGCCAGGAACAGCAGTTATGGCACAAGACCGGAAATATTGTGATGGATTGGAGCGGAGAGTAGCTGTTGAAGGTGATTGAGATTGGATTGAAAGTCGAGGGCAAGTGGCGTGCGATGCTCCCAATTGCAGAGCCAATCACATCGCAGCTAAATAATACTGCATGTTTTCCGCATCCGATCACATTCCGAGGCACTGCCGGGTCTTCCTGAAAACCTTGTACCTCGCAGACCTCGTAGGTTTATATGTGTCAGTGTCGTTCCCATGCAAAGTTGAAGGCTTTAACAATCCCTATACAAATAATCTCACACCATATGTGAGAGGGTCTAGCAGACCCTGAATATTGCCAGATATCTCCCCTTTCCCCTCGATTCAACTTGATTCAGGCACCTTTAGCTTTTCATGTCGAGTCAGCCACTTGCAGATCTAGCAAAGACAACATCCGCTGCGCAGCGGTTGTGATGTAAAGTCGTAGAACTCATTGGGCATGCAGCTGACAAGAACAAAGCATCTTCTCCTGTCGGAGAACACCAGCGTACCAGCAAAGTTGCCAATCGCCGACTGACCTGCAAAATCCGTTCGTATGTCCGAAAACTTTCAGTCACTCGTCCTCGAATCTTTATATAGTACAAGAACTGCAATGGTGGACGTCTTCGCTCAACTCTGAACGTGGAATAGGATTCTCTCCTTTGTTGAATGGTGACCCTATATCATTGCGCTCCTCGTATGGAAATGTCCAGCACAGCAGCAGCACCAATCTGGTTCATCACCGGCTCGTCATCTGGCCTGGGTCTTGCCTTGACTCGCTACGCTATCGCCAAGGGCCATCTTGTGGTCGCCTCATCACGCAACCCTTCAAAAACGCCAGAATTGGTATCGGAAGTTGAAGGTAGTGGCGGCAAATGGATCACGTTCGATACGACACAGTCAGAAGAAGCAATAAAAAAGACGATACAATTTGCAGAATCCCTCTTCGGTGGCATTGACATACTTGTCAACAATGCCGGCATAAGTGTTCTAGGCGCTTTGGAGGATATACCTGATGCCGATACTGTTTTCCAGATGCAAGTCAATTTTCTTGGGCCACTGAGGATCATGCAGGCTGTGCTTCCTGGGATGAGAAAACGAGGATCGGGGGTCATCATGAATGTCTCCAGCACGCAGGGCGTCGCTCCAGGTCTTGCGTGCGGTGTCTATGCGGCAAGCAAAGCTGCCCTGGAAGCTGCATCCGAGTCATGCAGTCAGGAAGTTGCACAGTTTGGGATCAGAGTGCTCATCATTGTGCCAGGTGCATACAGGACCGAATTCGGCAATTCGAGCACAGGTCGACACATTCAGCCGTCAGTCGAATATAGCGGCGATCATCCGGTGAACCAAAGGCTTCAACTCATTTCAAATTTGCCCAAGATAGCAATGGGAGACCCGGGCAAGGCTGCTCAGGTGATGTTTGAAGCTGCCACAGGAGAAGGCGAAGCTGGAGGGCTTATCAAGACAGAAAATTTGTTGAGAGTGATCATCGGCCCGGATTCCTGGAAAGGGGTTGACAAGAAGGTCACTGAACTGCGCAGGACCACGGACCTTCTTAGGGGAGTCGCTGCAAGTACAAACTTTTAGGAGGTTTTGTGCATTGCATATTGCAGGCGAGGCATCAAAAGACACGTCCTAGAGGCGCTTGAAAGCGACTCCGCTTGTTTAAAAGTATGCTTTCAGTATAGGGCTCCAGTGGCTGAACAAGCTGCCGACTGGGGCAATGACTGCCCCCTATGCCTCCTAGCCAGTCAATCACTCGATGGTAATGACAATAAGGCCGGCCATAGAATGCAATGCTACGCCGGCGCTGCATAAAGTGATTATAGAAAGAATAATGCATCTGCTTTAGCATCTCACGTTCTTCGTATCAGGCTCCTGTCCCTAATGTGAGCCCGATACTCCGGTTCTAGAGGATGTCCAGACGGGGGAGGGGAAGAGGGAGAGGTGCCGGATAATTCGTTGACGGGTAAGCTATAACCACTGTCAAACATGTACAAGTATTGAGAACGTGTTGGTAAGACCAGGTGGGCTCTGAAGCTGGAACCTTACCTACTCGATACTCCGTTCCAATAGACCTAGCGAGCTAATCATAGGTACAGTACGTTGTATGCAGCCGGGGGCGTGCGCCAACTGGACCGACCCTGCTTTCTGGGCCGATTCAACAGCATCTGTAAGCAGACTTCTCGCAATGCCCAACTCGCCTCCTCTTTCCTTCGAGCCATGCACAAGTCTACGCTACAATAGCGCCCTGTTTCCACCTCATGTTCATAGCGGGACGCAGACAACTCCATTGAATGGTGAGTTCGTTGTCTGCTATCCATTCTCAGTTGGGTAGCGGATCGCGCAATTGTTGCCTCCACGTCCGATCGGAAAGTTTAGAAAAAATCTCGGGCCCGAGATTTTGGTTTCTACCGGCACGTCTTACCCGGCTTGGTAAACGTAGCGAGGTTCAAAGAATGAATTGCCGGTGCAAAAAGATCCCCTTCTTTGCGATTTCACGGTGGTGGGGTTAGCGGCCGGGATTCAGGCAGTCATGCATAATGTCCGGGGGTTCATTGTGATTTGTCCTTGCCGCTGTAATACCGCTTGTAGCAAAATAAAAGCGATCATTCGGTGAGTGAAAAGCGGTCTCTGGTGAAACGCAAGAATGGTGTTGAGCAATTGCGCAGAACTCAGCCTAGGGAAACGTAGGGAGCTCAGAGCGAGCTTTGAGGGCTCGAGCCGAGGGGAGGGTGCGTTCAGGCAGCCAAGAACTGTTGAGTCTGGATGGCGAGATCACACAAGGATGAAGAATAGACGGTCTGCCATGACTCCATGATGGTGTTCACTTTGGATGCCTGCGACTGCGGAGGCGAAAAACAAGCCATCCACCTTTTCGATCCCTTCAAACCCCTCCCCACATCCCATAAACACCGGGAACAATCAATATTGCAATCATTAGAGGCAAGCCATGATTCATTTGCTCAAATAAATTTTGCGGAGAACTCAGATTGGCCGCTCCAGGGCTTTTGGATTGCTAAGCTCATCGCCAGCATCGCCATTATCGTCCCACTTGGCCCTGTTGGGGCAAACGGCCAAATACAAGCTTCGCATCACTTACGCCAATAGGGCGAAGTTCAGATTTTCAACAACCCATGCATCCAGGCCGAAAGCCTGCGAGACAAAAGCCGTCCAATCGACATGGCTCGACCTACCGGTTCTCGTGTCCACCCTTCTGCATCACGAGAGGCCTGCCCGGTCAAGTCCCTCTACCTCCGATTAGCCCTAGGACTGTGGAATGTCTCCGCCCCAGTCAACACTCATTTCCTCTCGCTTGTAGCCGCTTTGCCTTCCATTACGCCAGCACCGAGGATGTTTTGCGCCTGATCCTGGTTCCCCTCCTAGTCATCACTTCCCGGCCCTCGTTCCTCCCGTCACCGATTCTTCGGAATTGATACTACATATTCTCTGACCCTCCCCACCTGGACAGTCTTTTCGTCATGGACTGTTCGACAGATTCCATCAACCTTGAATTGTTGTTGACCGTTCCCCACGC